CAGTGTCTTGGGCACCCGAAGCCACAGAACTGCTTCTAGATAACTCCTGTGGTGGGGGGCTGGCTCTCTGGGCATCCTGGAGCTGGTCAAACATTTCCCAGGAGCCTCCTCCATGCGAGGCCCCACGTAGGGAGGGTGCTGGGGGCATAGCCATGGGCAAAATCCAGCCCAATCCCTGCCCTCAGGAACTTGTAGCACTACCAGAAAGCAAGAGTTCTCAGTGCCATGAAACTGCATGGAAAGTGATTTGGCCTAGTCCAGCCTCAGGGCCTTAGGATGTGCTGCTGACTGAGACCAGAAAGCTGAGTAGGGGATGTGATGCTTAGTATTGAGGCTCAACTCGATTGGACTGAAGGATGCAGAGTATTGGTCCTGGGTGTGTCTGTGAGGGTGTGGCCAAAGGCGATAAGCATTTGAGTCAGTGGGCTGGGAGAGGCAGACCCACCCTCAGTCTGGGTGGGCACCAGCTAATCAGCTGCCAGTGCAGCCAGGATATAAAGCAGTCAGAAGAACATGAAAAGACTACACTGGGCCGGGCATGGTGGCTCACGCCTGTAATCCCAGCACTATGGGAGGCTGAGGCGGGTGGATCACAAGGTCAAGAGATCGAGACCATCCTGGCCAACAATGGCGAAACCCCGTCTCTACTAAAAATACAAAAATTAGCTGGGTGTGGTGTTGCACGCCTGTAGTCCCAGCTACTCAGGAGGCTGAGGCAGGAGAATCACTTGAACCTGGGAGGCGGAGGTTGCAGTGAGCTGAGATTGCGCCACTGAATTCCAGCAAGACTCCGTCTCAAAAAAAAAAAAAAAAAAAAAAAAAAAAAAAGCCTACACTGGCTTTGCCTCCCAGCCTGTCTCCTTCTCTCATGCTGGATGCTTCTGGCCCTCGAACACCGGACTCAAGTTCTTTAGGTTTGGGACTCAGACTAGCTTCCCTGCTCCTCAGCCTGCAGACAGCCCATTGTGGGACCTTGTGATCGTGTGAGTTAATCCTTAATAAACTCCCATATATATATATATAAAAGATTTATATATAATAATTCTTTATATATATATGTATGTCTTCTGTTAGTTCTTTCCCTCTAAGAACCCTGATTAATACAGGGGGTACTGGGCGAAGGGGGCAGAGAACCCTGATTAACACAGGGGTACTGGGCGGAGGCAGGGAGAGCAGCCTGAGCAAACACCCTGCCGCAGAAGGAAACGCAGGGCCCCGAATGACACTGTGCCGTTGGAACCCAGAGCCAACAGGACGGTGGTGCAGGGAAGTTCAAGAGGCTGGCAAAGGGTTCTTTCGTTCGTTTTATTTTGTTTTATTATTTTGTTTTAGAGATAGGGTCTCGTTTTGTTGCCGAGGCTGGTCTTGAATTCCGGGCCCGAGCAATCCTTTCACTCTGGCCTCCCAAAGTGCTGGGATTACAGGCGTGAGGCAGTGCGCCCCGCCACGTTCTTGCACCTTTAGAAAGGTGGTTCCAGACAGAGCTCTGGAAGGGCGGTGTGTCCACGTCCAGGCTCATTCTTGCTGATTTCTCTCTGGCTCTTGGGAGCCTCCGCTGTCCACCCCTGGAAGGGCCGCTCTGTGGATCACCCCAGCTACAGACACCAGAGGAAGAACTAGAGAGCCTGAGCTCATCCAGGTGTTCCTCGAGGACGGGACAGAAAGACGTGGATATGGAAGGCGGCTGGTGGTGTGCCCAGGTCAGGGCAGCGGAGACCTCCAGTGACCACAGCTTGGGCGAGAGGGGCCTCCTCGAAGATAAATCCTCTCAGCCAGGCAGTTGACTTCTGTAGAAGGGCGCGGTGCACGGATGGGGCAGTGGCAGCCACACATCTGGACAAGGAGGGGAAGGGCTACTTATGCCTGACGGGGGTCGCCCCGACTGCTGTGTCGTTCCCCTGTTGGCTAGGGTTAGACCGCACCGGCTAGCCTCGTCCTGACTGGCTAAAGAGAGCAGGGGTCCGAGCTGGAGTGGCAGGGTGGACGGTACGGGCAGGTCAGAGCCGGCAGGCGGGGGGTGACCTAGGTCAAAGGGGACCGGAGCAGGTGACAGGAGCAGGTGACCGGGATGAATCAAGACGGAGCCGGGGGCCGGGGGAACAGATGTGAACTACTGATTACAAGGAAGCTAAACTTTAAAATGAAGAATTAAGGAATACGAGAGCGGAACATGCTGACATGCCGATTATTTGAAGAGAAACTTGAGGTTCACTGTAACACTGTGTAACTCCCACCGGTGGCGGAGACCAGGGAGTTGAAGCACTGGCAGCCTGACAGCTGGCTTGTGCCTTCTGAGAGGACCCCTGCTTTTCTTTTCGTTTCTCTGGGGCCCCCTCTGGAGCCGCACCACTCCCATGCCCCTACCCTACCCCCACCCTGGCATCTCCCAGCCGAGACGGCTGAGGGCAGAGGTGAGGAGTTACTGGTGATATTGATCATCCTCTCTAAGCACTGGTACAGAGGAGGTATAGACGAGTTGAGGGACCGAGGACAGAGGAATGAATGAGACCCATGCCCCTGGCCTCCTCTCTGAGCCGGCATGGAGCCCCTCTGGCCTCCCCTGCCAGCTGGCTCTGCGTCTTCAAGGAGCTGGGCTCCTGCAGGTGGGCAGGCTTCGCTGCCGGTGGCCTGCGGTGCCTTGGCTCTGGCTTGGTTCTGCGGGACCCAGACAGGTCTGACGAGTTCCTCAGCAGCAGAGACAGGGCTCGGTCCATGATTTCCAGGAAAGGCAATGTCTTGGAGAGCAAGCGGAGCCAGGCTTGGGGTGCAGGGAGGAGCTGCCCGGACCCCTCCCCTCCTCTGCCACCTACCTGTCCCCTGTGCCCCTGAGTCCAGAGCTCCAGAGTGACGGAGGTGCTTCTCTCCCGCCTCTCACAGAGGGAACAGGGGCTCAGCCCGGGGGTGGGGGTGGGGGGGGTGAGGAGGAGGGGAGGGCTCGCTGTGGCCCAGGGGTCAGGGCGTGTGGCCCCTATGGTGAAGCAGCTACCGTCAAAACCAGGACCGGCCCTCTGCAGGGTCCAACATACCACCCTCCTTGGCCTCCTTCCTCTTGGCTTCTCAGGGTTTGAATTCTATGCTTAACCCACAGCCTCCAACCCTTGGCTCCAGGGACCTCCTCCCAACCTCAGACACCAATTCCAAGCCCACACCTCAGGCGTGTGCTTCTCCTCCTTAGACATCAGCTCTTCTCTCTTTCTCCATCTGCCTCCTCCCCCTCCCTCCCCTCCCCTCCCCTCCCTCCCTCCCCCTCCCCCTCCCTCCCCTCCCCTCCCTCCCTCCTCCTCCCTCCCTCCCCTCTGTCCGTTCATCCGCCCTCTTTCTCTCTCTCCCTCTCCCTTCCTTCCTTTCTTCTCTCTCTCTTTCTTTCTCTCTCTCTCTTTCTCTCCCTCCCCTCCCTCCCTCCCTTCCTGGGCAACAGAGTGAGACTGTCTCAAAAAAATAAAAAAGATGGATTTTGTAGTATGCGAATCGTGTCTCAATAAAAAAGCGCTTTAAAAAAATATGCACTCTGGCCTCTGTCGTCTTCCATACAGTGTAGTATATACGAGCAATCACGAAGCTGCCGTGTATATCAACGGTTTACTCTCATAGCCATGTGGCATTCCCACGTATGAGTGCCCTAGCATTTCTTTCTATTATTATTTTTATTTGGAGACAGGGTTTCACTCTGTCCCCCAGACTGGAGTGCAGTGGTGTGATACAGCTCGCTGCAGCTGCCAACTCCTGGGCTCGAGTGATCCTCGCACCTCAACCTCCTCAGTAGCTGGGACTATAGGCACACACCACCATGCCAGGCTAATTTTTAATTTTTTTTTTTTTTTTTTAGAAATGGGGTCTTGCTATGTTGCCCAGACAGGTCTCAAACCCCTGGCCTCAAGCAATTCTCCTGCCTCGGCCTCCGAAAGCTCTGGAATTACAGGCCTGAGCCACTATGCCCAGACTCTTTTCAGATCTTTTTTTTTTTTTTTTTTTTTTTTTTTGAGATGGAGTCTTGCTCTGTGGCCCAGCTGGAAGGCAGTGGCACGATCTTGGCTCACTGCAACCTTCGTCTCCCAGGTTCAAGTGATTCTCCTGCCTCAGCCTCCTGAGTAGCTGGGATTACAGGAGCCCGCCACCACACCCGGCTAATTTTTGTATTTTTAGTAGACTCAGTGTTTCACCATGTTGGTCAGGCTGGTCTCGAGCCCCCAACCTCGTGATCCGCCCTCCTCGGCCTCCCACAGTGCTGGGATTATAGGCGTGAGCCACCTCGCCCAGCCTCTCTTTTCAGATCTTTATGGCCATTTGGATTTTATTCTTGTCATCTACCTTTTTCGGGGTTATAATCTTTCTATTATAGACATGTGGGATTTTAAAAAATATCCTCTGGATATGAGATCCTTGTCACGATCTGGGCTGCTGGCATCTTTTCTCGTCCAGCACCTTTTCGCATTCTTAGTCGCATCTTTTGGTGAGCAGAAGTTTTTCATTTTGATGAAGCCCAATTTATCCACTTTTATGGTCAGAGCTACGCGTGTCCTGTTTAAGAAGCCCCTGCCTGCCCCCCAAACATCCCTTGAAGCCCCCTCTTCCCTTCTGACGTCTTCGCCTCCAGCCAGCTCTTTGTAGCCAGTTTTCTCCCGCGCTTCCCCATTCTCCTCCCACCGATGTCCCCACCCCACATTTTGCCCCCGTCCTCTGCCTTCCTCACCGCCATCCGCTCGATCTTCCCACCCAGGGACGGTCCTGGCTCCTCTGCCAGTCCCTGCGAGTCCCTGGGACCAGCAGTCTCTGGCACGCACTAGGTGCTTAATAAAAGCTCCATACATGAAGGCAATATCCTGTGGCTTAGCTGGGATCTTAAAACTGTCAATTAGCTCTAATCACCAGCTTCTCAGGAACATTTGAGCAGAGCCAGGGAAACAAAAGTTTTGGAAAAAGCAACAAGACAGGAATGTTTCATTCTCTCCGTCACTGGAGCATGTACCGCACAAAGGCAGACCTCGTTAGCATTATTTATTCTTGCTTTGTCCCCGATCATAGGACGAGGGAAGCCTTTTCCCCGCCCCCTCTGGCTGCAGGCGCTCTGTCACCCCTCCCCCGACAGTTTGCTGCCCCCGAATGTCGGGGAGACCTGCCATCCTCTAGTCCTTCCCCTCCCCGTGAGTGATGATGTAACACAGGTTCCTGTAGTCCAGGTTACCGCACACATCTGGGGGAAACGCTGCAAACATCTGCTTGATCTGGGAAGGAGCAGAGAGTCAGCCTGCAGCGGGCCAGGTGAGAGCAGGAGCGGGGCATCTGCCGTGCCCACCCAAAGCCCGCATTTACCTCTTCCTCACTGAAGCGGTCTGCCTGGGTCATAAGTTTTTCTTTGATGCTGTACAAGGGGGAGACACAGTCATGTTCAGGGTAAGGGATACCCAGCTTGGACATGCAGACCCCAGGGGTGATGAGGGGCAAGCGGGGGCAGGGAGTGTCCTGGCCCAGGAGGATGTCACCCTGGGGCTGGTCTTGTCAGCCCCTCTGATGGCCAAGTAGCCTCTGAACTTCCGTTTTCTCCTCCATGAAGCAGGCTTTCTTGCCAGCATCAGGTAGGGACCAAAAGGAATGACCTGGGGACCCCAACAAAGGGGCCACTCTGAACCTCGGTTTCTTCCTCTGTGAAGTGGGCTTTCCTCCTAGCATCTAGTGGGGACCAGATAGAATGACCTGGGGACCACTCTGAACTTCAGTTTCCTGCTCTGTGAAGTGGGCTTTCCTCCCAGCATCAGGTGGGGACCTAATGGAATGACCTGGGGACCCCAACATGAGGGCTACTCTGATTTCCCGTCATGCACTGTCACCAAGCTCTGCATCATTGAGGGGAGACGGCTCAGGTCCGCCGCCCAGACCCTCTTCTGCCTGATTCTGGACACACTGTTTTTTCCAGCCTGTGATGTTCACTGACGTCAGACAGTGTTTTAGAGACGACGAGACGCTCGTGCTTGGCTAAGGGCACAGGACGGCCTGGCCAGGTCTGTGTCCTCTTGAGCCTGCAAGGGACTGGTGGCCCCTCAAACTTGGAGGGCTGTGCAGCGTTCCTGAGGGGGCTCAGTGGGCAGGAATGGGACCCGACGGCTGAGCAAGGCCTCCTCCGCCCAGAGCGTCCTCTGGCACCGGCTGCGGCGGGTCTCGCTGAGGACCAGGGCACATTTTCCATTATTTATGTTTCTGTGGGACAGTCACAGTTTCCAGCTCTCCAAGCTGGGGACTTCTCACAGACTGTTTCAACCAGAGCCTCCGCCGTGGCCTGTCTGGCCTGCAGCCACAGTCCGTCCCAAGGCAGTGCCTTCAGTTCCCAAATTGGGTCCCCAAAGGGTCCTTCCCAGCCTTGTCCTTGCACTGGTGAGAGTGAAGGCGGTTGACAGGGGAGGGAGGGTTCGGGGTCACTCCAGGGGCGCCAGAAAGGAGGCAGGAGTTGCAGACCCCGAGGGAGGGGAGGAGGAGAGCATTGTGACTTGGAGCGGCCCTCTGCGTCCCCTCCCCACCCCAGGGGAGTATGTGACTCATGGCTCTGGAGGTGAGAAAGTGTGAGACGGGCAGACCCTCTCCACCTCCACCCCTGCCCCGCCTGCCCTCTCCCCTCCACCTCCATATGTGAGAATCTCAAAACTGGCAAAGCTAGCCTCAAAACCCGAAGGCCGCAGCATCACAGTAACTGATCAGGAAGCCCGCGCCGGGGGGAGGAATCTCACCTGCCCCAGGCCACCTCCAGGTCCAGCGAGGTTCTGAAGGGACCGCCCAGGCCCAGCTCAGAGGTCTGCCCTGAAGCCAGGGTCCAGGGCAGGCTGCCACTCCCCCGCCCAGCCCTGCCTGCAATCCTTGGCTCTCTGCTCCCATGTTGTCACTGAGTGGGGCACTCCTTCTGTCACGATCGCAGCCTGGTACCTGCCGGACAGCTGCCTGCAGCCACGTCCCCTTCATGCATTCCAAGGGAGCTGGTCACCTTCCCCAGCCCTCACTGCCCTCTTGCCCGAGGCGGTGCTGGCTACGATCTGGCTCAGTCCTCTTCCCAGAACCCGGATCCTACCGGCGCTGGCCTCTGGCTCTTTGCTTATCTGTCCACCCCACTCCGTCTCGACGGCCATGACCCTCCTGGGAGCTGCAGCCCTCTCCTCTCCTCCTCCAGGCTGGCCTCCATGGTGTCCTTGCCTAACTCCTTCTTGAGCTCTCCCATGCAGGGTCCAGGGGCTGGGGTGTGAGCAGGCAAGCCCCGCCTGCCACTCCGCGCTGAGTCTCCCCCACCCACCCCCACCCGCACCCTCAAGCTGCAGCCAACTCCGAACCAACATGCACACGCCAAGCCCTGGCCCTCTGATCCCTCCATTCCCACATCTAGAATGCTGTTCCCGCCCTAGCCTGGGCAACCCATGGCCATCCTTCAAGGCCTGCCTTTGCCCCCACACCCACCTCACTAGGAAACTCTCTCCGAGTGACCCAACACTTGTTTTTTTTTATTGGAGACAGAATTTTGCTCTGTCGCCCAGGCTGGAGTGCAACAGCGTGATCTCGGCTCACTACAACCTCAGCTCACTGCAACCTCCACCTCCCAGGCTCGCGTGATTCTCCTGCCTCGGCCACCAGAGTAGCTGGGATTACAGGCACCCACCACCATGCCCGGCAATTTTTTTTTTTTTTTTTTTTTTTTTTTTTTCAGTAAAGACAGGGGTCACCATGTTGACCAGGCTGGTCTCAAACTCCTGGTCGCAAGTGATCTGCCCGCCTCGGTCTCCCAAAGTGCTGGGACTACAGGCGTGAGCCACCGCGGCCGGCCTGACCCATTCCTTATCCATTTCTACTTGCACGCACACATAGAGATGGGGACACCAGGGCTCAGGAGGGGAAGAGACATCAAGTGATATCACCGGGCCAGGCAGCAGCCTCCCAACTCCTGGATTCTGGGAGGGGAGACTGGGCGGCCACCCACCCTGACCCCAGCCCAGAGCTGGCTTACCCCCGGAGCGTCTGCAGGGAGCAAAAAACCGAAGGAAGTCAGGAGAAACTTACACATCGGCCTTGACGAAGCCTTTCCCTTCAGTGTCGAACACTTTGAAGGCGTGGAGAATGGTCTCCTCTGGGTCCGTGCCTGTAAGCAGCACACACAGGGCAGGGAGAGAGGTAGATGGAGAGGGCCCCACAGAGACAGGCACCGAGCTGGGCAGGGGCTGGGGCTGGGGGCAAGTTTCGTGGCCCCGCACAGAGGCACAGCTCCGGGGAACTTCTTCCCCAGCTTTCACTGCACAGAGAGGGCAGAGCTCACTTGAAGCAAGAGCAGAGAGGGAAACAAGTCACTGTAACTGTAGACAAGGGTTCCGCATATATACCTTTGTGAACAGCCTGTGCAACTGTACATGGAGACCCTGAGCGTTTAAAAACTTTATGTTTAACCCTTCCCTATTTTACACATGAGCAAGCTGAGACCCAGAGAAGTTAAGCGACTTGTCCAAAGTCTCACAGCCGAGGCTACTGCGTGGCCAGTGGTCCGAGTGGGGGACATGACTCTGGGGCTCGTGCACTACCCAAGCCATGCCCAAGAGGCCGTGGGCAGAGGAAAAAGAGTTCTGTATGTGGGTGCCAAAAGGCTGGGGCTTGGGCAGTGGCATCGGAGTCTGTGAGATTGGCCCAGCCAGAAGTGGGGCAGGTGGGCCAGCGGGCCAAGGGCGGGGATTTGGGGAGGCAGAAGGGCAGCCAGAGATACTCCGCTTTTATCACGTTCACAGCACAGCCATGGGGAGAGATGCCATGCGAAGACGCGAATCGGATACCCATAATAGCATTGAACGTGCAGCCCTCGCGCTGCACCCATGGGAAACTGAGGCCCAGAGAGAGGAACAGGCTGCGTGAGGGACAACAGGTGACCTGGCCACCCTCGCCCGGTGCCCTTTTCCCCTCTGTCACCGTGTCCCCCCTTGTTCACTTTGGACACGGGCGTGCTCCCTTCCTTTCCTCGGTGCTCACCTGAGTCATTGGTGAAATGGGGACAGGGACGGTGCGTGCCACCCACCTCACAGGAGCAGCTAAGGTCACACACCATTCACGGTAAGGTTCTGACCAACATGTGTGACATGGTAAAAGCCCCGTAAACCTGCACACCTCAGCCATACCTCGGCTTTCTACTGAAACTGCTCTCTGTAACGCAAACGTGACAGGCAAGCCGTCCAAACCCAGGCCACCTTGGCCCCTGCGACTTGTAATAACCAATTAAGGATTGTAATTTCCACCCTACCCAGACAATGTGTAAACAAATGCTAATCTTGACTTTTGTGAACCACTTAAGTAACAATCAGAATGTCAAAAGTCCCCTGGCCCTCGGAGTGTCCGGAGCCCCTCACCCTCATCTCCGCCCAGGAGGTGATTTACAGAATCCACTAGCCCTCAGAACATCTGAAGCCCCTCACCCCCACCCCTGCCCCCACCCTCACTCCCGAGGTGGTTTTACGGGTATAAAAGGTCTTGACACCCTCCTTTCGGGGCCACGGGTTGGAGAGACTCGAGTCCTCTGTGGCCGCCGGCAATAAAGACCCTGCAATGTGGCATACTTTTGTCTTGGTGTTGACTTTCTATGCTCGGGCCGGTACAACACATGTATCGACCAGGGCTGCAAACACATCTGCAGCTCCAGGCCTGCAGCTTTAAGATGTTACCCGCTGGAGCTCTGAGAGCACCGATGAGTAGACATGGATGCCTTAGTTTATCACAGAGAAAACAGGCTTGGAGAGGTTTTAGTACTTGCCTGAGGGCCCCCTAATAAGAGAAGGGAGGATTTAAACCCACCTTCGGACTCCAGAGTCCCCTGCTCCTTCTGCCACCCTGTGCTCCTGCCAGTCAGATTGGGTCCGGCAGGGTCATGTGCCTCCCCCATTAGACTAGGTCTGATGTGCCTCCAGCATCACGCTAGGTCAGGATCGCCTGTGCCTCCCCCATCAGACTGGGTGAGGGTCATCTGTGCCTCCTCCATCCGACTGGGTCAGGGCCATCTGTGCCTTCCCCCATCAGACTGCATCAGGGCCATCTGTGCCTTCCCCCTCAGATTAGATCAGAGCCTCATCTGTTCCTCTCCCATCAGACTTGATCAGGGCCATCTGTGCCTTTCCCATCAGACTGGGTCAGGGATGTCTATACTTCTCGCATCAGATCAGATCAGAACCTCATCTATTCCTCCGCCATTAGACTGGGTCAGAGCCATCTGCTCCTTCCCCATCAGACCAGATCAAGGCCATCTGTGCCTTTCCCATCAGACTGGGTCAGGGCCGTCTGGGCCTCCCCCATCAGACTAGAAACTACCTGGGACTGGGACTGGGCAGTATTTGAGTCTCCGGGCATCTCTGAAACTGGCCCAGAGTGAAAAAGCCTGGCACACACTGGCCTCACTGGCCTGGGAGCTCCTAGAGGACAGAGCCATGGACTGCCTCTGGGCAGGGTGGCAGGGAGCTGGTGTGCCCAGCAGACAGGCTCAGCCCAAGGCACAGCGGGGACATTCCAGGCCCATACGGCCTGACCAAGCCAGCAGGGGTTGGGGGGTATCTCCAGGCTGGTGAGGGTTGAGTGCCCAGAGCATCACGTGGGGCACCCATATGGGGTTTGCCTCTGAGGCCAGTCTCCCAGGTTTCACCGATTAGTTGAAAATTCCCCTCGTCTTTGAAGAGGCCTCACTGCTGGGACAGGTTTGTGGCTGGCTCCCGCCTGTCCCCCTGCGGACCATGCACGTGGACTTAGCTCAGGCTCTCAGGCACCCAGCACAGCCCCGCCACTCCTTGTCGCCGTGGCTGGCAGTCCTCCCTTCCCTCCTCCCCAGAGAGGGCCACTGTTCCTGGGACTGCGAACCTCATAAAATCTGCTACAGAGTGTCCACTTCCCCCCATCATCGCTGGGAATCTCACGACAGTCTCCTCTTCCCAATTAGCAGGGTGAGGTGGCGCCCGTCCCAGCCCCCTGCCCTCCCAGCTCCTGTCCCCTCCCACCCGCCTCTCACGAGGTCTGGCAACATCTGCACGACAGGCTGAGCCGGAGCCCCAGTCCCAGCACCCCCTTCAAAAATGAGAAAAAGCTGCCTCCCTGCGGCTCACTCCAGGTCCTGGGTCACAGCTTCGGCTCAGCCATGGACCGACATGAGCTCTTAGTCTCAATCTTCCCATCTGTGAAGCAGGTTTGGGGCCCATTGTGAGCTGACAGAGTCCCCTCCTCTTCCCCCAGCACTCCTGGAGATCTCTCTAACCAGAAGCCACTTCCCCAGGCCCGCCCGCTGGCCTTGAACACGTCTTCAGTGACGTTCCTCTGGATAAAAGAATCAGCCTGTCTGCTTCCTTTGAAGTCACTGGCTGGAGTCACGAATATCTTTCCCACAGAGCATTCTTCTGTCCCGGCCTCCTGGGCTTCTGAGCTTTTCCAGGAGGCAGCCAGGGTCCTGGAAATAGGTCCTGACCAGCTGCCCCTGGAGGTGGGCCCAGTGACACTCCTGATTCGGCTAGACAGCCCCAAGTTCAAGGCCTGCTCCAGATGAGCCTGCCCTCCCCTGCCCTGGGCTTCCTTGCCTCTTGCACGCAGGCTGATGGCTGCCTTCCTTCTAGCTCTAGATCAGCCAGAACTCAGGGCGGGGAGGCTGCTCTACCCCCCAGCAGGCCGCGACCCATGAAAACACTGATTTTTCACCCCATCAAACCTGTGATGTCAGGTAGGATCACCCCGTCGTGGACTGAACGGTGGCTCCTAAGCAGATATGTCCACCAGAGCCTGCAAATGTCACCTTATTTGGAAAAAGGGACTTTGTGGACGGAAGTTAAGCATCTTGAGATGCAGAGACCATCTCGGATTATCCAGGTAGGACCTAAATCCAATGGCAAACATCCTTCTAAAAGGCAGGTAGGGCCGGGCCCAGTGGCTCACGCCTGTAATCTCAGCACTTTGAGAGGCCGATGTGGGTGGATCACTTGAGGTCAGGAGTTCGAGACCAGCCTGGCCAACATGGTGAAACCCTGTCTCTACTAAAAATACAAAAAAATTAGCCGGGCGTGGTGGCGTGCGCCTGTAATCTCAGCTTCTGGGGAGGCTGAGGCACAAGAATCGCTTGAACCTGGGAGGCGGAGGTTGCCGTGAGCTGAGATTGAGCCACTGCACTTCAGCCTGGGCAACAGAGTGAGACTCTGTCTCAAAAACAAAACAAAATGAAGAGGCAGGTGGAGGGAGGTTAGACAGAAGAGGATGGGGCCGCTGACTATGAGGCGGAGGTGGGAGAGATATGCGCCCAGGGGCTGGAAGAGGCAAAGAATGGATTCTACCCCAATCCTCTGCCAGATTTTGGACATCTAGACTCCAGGACTGTGAGTGAATACATATCTGCTGTTTATGAGACACCTGGTTTCAGAGAATTTGTTACAGTGGGTTCAGGAAACTATTATAAACCCATTTTACAGACCAAAAAACTGAGGACAGAAAGCAGATAAATCTGTGCAAGGTCAGCCTAGGAGTCAATGGGAAGCCAGGGCCTGACCCTAAGCCTAGCAAGGGAGGGGGCCTGGCAGGGGCGGCCTTGAGGTTGGGGGGCTGACAGTGCTTACCACCCAGGGCAGCCACTGCCAGGGCTGGCCCCCACCTTTCTTTCTTTCTTTCTTTCTTTTTTTTTTTTTTTTTTGAGATGATGTCTTGCTCTGTCACCCAGGCTGGAGTACAGTGGCACCATCTCAGCTCACTGCAGTCTCCACCTCCTGGGTTCAAGCAATTCTCTGGCCTCAGCCTCCTGAGTAGCTGGGGTTACAGGTGCCCACCACCACGCCTGGCTAATTTTCGTGTTAGTAGACATAAAGTTACATTCTATCACCCAGGCTAGTCTCAAACTCCCGAACTCAAGCAAACCTCCCGCCTCAGCCTCCCGAAGTGCTGGGATTACAGGCATGAGCCACCATGCCCGGCCAAGGCAGGGGTCTTTACAGTTACCCCAGTCTGCAGTGAAGAGAGGGAAACTGAGGCAGGGATCTCGAAGTTATGTGCACCGGGGTCTGGTATCTGGGGTCACATCACGTTCCCACCTGTGGACTGTGTGTGTGTGACGGCCCCGCCTCCCACACCCATCCACCTGCATTCCCCGTCACCCCCCTGGCCCCCCAGAAGCCAGGCTCACCCTTCAGCTTCTCCCCAAACATGGTCAGGAACACCGTGAAGTTGATGGGCCCGGGGGCCTCCTTCACCATGGCCTCCAGTTCCTCATTCTTGACATTGATGCGGCCTGGAGGAGACGAGATGGGGGCGCCCGGGAGGATGTGAGAGAACAGAGCTTGGACCTCGGAGGGTTCCACAGAGCCTCCCCGCTCGGCTGCCCCACCTGCCCCCGACTCAGCCCTCAGGCCCTGCTGCCTTGCTGCGGGGCTCTTTGGGGAGGCATTTGGGCCACAGTCAGCTTCCGGCTGCCCCCAGCCTCGTGGGAAGGGGGGCAAGTCACTCTCATCCCCATTTTACAGGTGAGAAAACTGAGGCCCAAGAAGGTGCAGCTGAGGTGCACAGCGTGCCCCAGGAGGGGTCAGTGGATGTCTGGATGCCGGGATTCCCCGTGGTTCCAGGGGACACTCAGATTCCCAGGCACTCGGGGCTTGGTTACGTCCATTCCACCATCTACATGCCCCGTGGGTAACTTCAGGCTCTTCCCTGGATCCTTAAAGGGGCCAGAAACCTCTCTGAGTCTTTCCCCCGACTCAGCTTCTCCCCTGCTCTCCTGGCCCCTCCCTACACCCAGGGCCCCCTACACCAGGCCCAGGCTGCTGCTCCTGTCCCTGGAGTGTCCTCTCCTTCCCTGGACTCTTTCTCCAACCCCCAGGAAGATCCCCTGACTTTGCGGGCAGCGTCCGCCTTGCCCCTGGGCTCCCCGGCACAGGAGCCCCGCACCCTCACTGAGGGCACTGCCCTGATGGCCCCTGCTGCCACCCGCTTTCTCCAGACGGTGTGGCCTCAAGCTCCCTGGCTGCTGGTTCACCCACCCAGTGCGGCAAAGGTGTCCCTTAAGTCTTCTTTGTCAATGAAGCCGTCGCGGTTCTGGTCCATGATGGTGAAAGCCTGGCAGAGACACGGGCGGTAAGTGGCAACCCACCCTTCCAAGCCTGGCCACCTCCCTCAAAGGCTGTCCTCCTGCCAACTGCTGCCCAAGAGCTCAGGCCAGGTCCCTCTGGCAGCCCACATGGGATGGGCTCCATCCCTAACCCCTCATTTCAGGCTCACAGCAATCCTGGTTTATAGAAGGGAAACTGAGGCTCGGAGAGAGAAAAGCCTTGCCCGAGGTCACACAGCAAGCACAGGCTCAGGTATAGAGAGAGGAAAAGGCTGCCCGAGGGCAACAGGTCACACACTCAGGCTCTGGGCCGTGGCCGTGGCCGAGGTGGCCTCAAAAAATGGTGGCATTGGCTAGGCATAGTGGCTCATGCTGGCAATCCCAGAACTTTAGGAGGCTGAGGCAGGAGGATTGCTTGAGGCCAGGAGTTTAAGACCAGCCTAGGCAGCATAGTGAGACCCCATCTCTACAAAACATTAAAAAATTAGCCAGGCATGGTGATGTACGCCTGTAGTTCCAGCTACTCGGGAGGCTGAGGTGGGAGGATCGCTTGAGCCCAGGAATTGGAAGCTGCAGTGAGCTATGACTGCAATACTTCACTCCAGCCTGGGTGACAGAACCAGACCCTGTCTCTAAAAAAAAAAAAAAAAAAAAAAAAAAAAAATTGTTTAAAGATATAATAATGGGCCAGGCACGGTTGCTCACACCTGTAATCCTGGCACTTTGGGAGGCCGAGGCGGTGGACCACCTACGGTCAGGAGTTTGACACCAGCCTGGCCAAAATAGTGAAACCCCGTCTCTACTAAAAATACAAAAAATTAGCGGGGCGTGGTGGCGGGCACCTGTAATCCCAGCTACTTGGGAGGCTGAGGTAGGAGAATTGCTTGAACCCACGAGGTGGAGGTTGCAGGGAGCCAAGATCACGCCATTGCACTCCAGCCTGGGTGACAGTGAAACTCTGTCAAAATATATATATATATATATATATATATATATATATATATATATATATATATGTAAAATCTTCAGCCCCGCAAGACTGAGGACCGAGCCTCCGCCCAGCTCCTTGAGCAACTGGCATGCATTCCATGAATCTTCGCAACTGCCCTGTGGGGCAGCACACCCACCTCTTTAAACTCCTGGATCTGGGACTGATCGAACATGGAGAAGACGTTGGAGCTGGCAGTGCCTTCTGCTCTTTTCCGAGCTCTTCTCGGTGCCTGCAAGGTACCAGACGAAGCCTTGCAGCGGCCCCTGCCTCGGGGGTCAGCCCCCACTCCCTGCCTCACCTCCCAGGGCATCACAGTCCGGAATGACCCTGCTCTGCCCTCGCCAGTGCCCACAGCAGACAGACAAGGCTGCCCCTGAAGCCGTGCGGTAATCAGGACGTTTTCCCAGCCCGTGGCAAGAAGCCTGCGTGGGGCGCACCCCCGCCGAGCTGGACAGCTGCTTCCTGGCCCTGTCCCCCGGGCGCAGGAAGGTGGGCGGCCAGCACCCGCACAGCCGAGCAGAGGGGGGCCTCTTTTCCTTCAGCCTCCCCGTCTCCACCCGGCATCCTCCACGACAGCTGGAATCTGACCTTGTCGCCAGCTGCTGAAAACCTTCTTCGTGTTCTCAGAACAAGTGAGCTCTTCGCCCCAATGCTGGATCTGGCTCTTGGCCCCTTGCAGAGCCTCTCCTCCCTCTCACCCGGGCCCTCTACTCTGCCCCAAAGCAGCCTCCCTCCCTGCCTGCGTTTGACCCTGCCTGGAATGCGTTGCTCTGCTGGAATTCCCTGCCTGGAATGCCCCCCCCCCCCCTGGAGAATCCATCTGGAGACTCCTTCCCATCCTGCAGCTCTGCTGTCACCTCCTCTGAGAAGCCTTCCCTGACCCCAGGCCACTCTCCCCTCCCACACGGCTCCATACGTGGCTCCATCGTAGCCTGTCACCCCCACAGCACACATCACACTATCCTGACGTATCTCTGCGTCTGTCTCCCCGACTAAGTGGGATAAAGCCAGTTTGTCCCATCTCTGGTTCCTCCCGTCCCCATCCTGAACCTGCCTCAAAGTGGGGATCAACCAGTGCTTGGAAACAGCGGCCCAGAACTCGGGGCCAACCCACGAAGCAGGCAAAGCTGGAGACCACCCACATGGAGTAGTTAGATGGTCTCCAGCCGGCCTTCCTGCCTCTGTGATGTTGGGGTGCCTGGAAGTCCACCCTTGGGCATTTGCTGAAAGCCCCAGGTCCCCGAGACCCCTAAGGGGACCGTCCCTCGGCAGCCATTCCTTAAAGCCCCCAGGGACCTGTGAGCCCCAGAACGGGCTCTTGTTGTGGGGAAAGAATTGCTGGACTTCGCAGGGGGAGGTGGACGGGATGCACAGACAGGCTCCCACCGCCAGCTCCTGCCTCCATCACAGCCTGCACCACCCTCCCCTGCCAAGCCCCTGTCTACCCGCCCTCGCTGGAGCAAAGGACTCCCCTCATTCCCTGCTCCCCTCCCCCAATGCCTGTGTGGTCTCCCCTGCCCCCAGCCCACTGCAGTCCCCCCCCCAGCCCAGGAGCCCACGGTGTCGAGGGCGGGGCGGAGGGGGCAGGCGGAGCGCCGGCTGACTTATAATTAGCTTTTACTGGGTGCTTTGTCTCTGCTAATCCTTTGAAAGGGGGCTGCCAGGGCGGCCGGGACGTTATGATGCTGTAAAACCTCTGTAATATTTATAAACCCTTTCAGACACCATAAAGAAAAGAACTTCCCCGCAGAGTTCATCTCACATAATTACATATACATTTCCTCCGATTAATAAAAAATGATCACTTCCGTCTGTGGGAGGCTCTGCCCTTTCTCTGGCAGACCTGGCGGGCCGTGGCCTCGGCATCCTCAGTCCCTGCCCCCCATGACCCCCATGGTCACACCACCGCCCTAGGGTGCCCCAGAGCTCCCCAAGGGAGGGAGAGATCATTTTCTCTACTGCAAAAGAAGAGTCCTAAACCTGAGGGTCTTTGCAGCCCCGCTGTCTTGGAAATTCCTTTTGAGAACGGGCCCCTGAAAAATAAAATTCCCCTGAAAGGAACATCTCAGGGAAGGAGTGGGCCGCCTGGAGCTGAGTTCAAAGCCTGGCTTGGCTGCTCCCAGCCTCTGTGAAGTTAAGAAATTCACTTGTCGGCCAGGCGCGGTGGCTCCCGCCTGTAATCCCAGCACTTTGGGAGGACAAGCTGGGTGGATCTTTTGAGGTCAGAAGTTCGAGACCAGCCTGGCCAACATGGTGAAACCCCATCTTTACTAAAAATACAAAAATTAGCTGGGCCTGGTGATACATGCCTGTAATCCCAGCTACTGGGGAGACTGAGGCAGTAAAATTGCTTGAACTCAGGAGGTGGAGGTTGCAGTGAGCCGAGATCGGGCCCCTGCACTCCACCCTGGGCAACACAGAGACACTCTGTCTCAAAAAGAAAAGGCAAGGAAAGAAAAGCCCGGGCGTGATGGCTCGTGCCTGTAATCCCAGCACTTCGGGAGGCCGAGGCGGGCGGATCACAAGGTCAGGAATTCGAGACCAGCCTGGCCAACATAGTGAAACCTCATCTCTTAAAAAAAAAAAAAGAAGAAAAAAGAAAAGAAAAGAAAAAGAAATTCACTTGTAATCGCTGAGCCTGTTTCCCCATTTATAAAACCAAGAGCACGTCTCCATCAAAGCATCCGGACATATGTTAGACTCCTGCGGACCTCCGAGCAGGCCCCGTGCCCAGTCCTGGGGACCCAGAGCTGAATCAGGACGCGGAGGAGGGGACAGGCGTTGAGAGGTCGGAGAAACCCCTAGGCCCTCAGGCAGTCAGGAGGTGACAATCGGAGATTGACAGCCCAGTCAGAGCTCCGGGCTGAGAGGGACTCACTAATGAGGCAGGTGAGACGCAGGCACAAAGGGACAGCCAGATTGAGACCCTGCAGGGAGTCCCCAGGGGCAGGAGCTCCAGGCAAGCCCCACATTGAAAGAGGCCCGCAGGCAAGGAAGGCAAGGATGAGCAGGGGAACCTCAGACCTCCAGAGGTGTCACGCTGTCGGGAACACGGACCCCCTACCCTCCCAGGGGCCCATGGCCTCAGAGCCACTGCTTCTGTGAAGCCCTCAGGTCCCGGCCACCCCATCTCTCTCCACCCTCCCCTTCCTCGTTCCCCAGCAGCTCCCACCGAGTCCAGGAAAGCAGACTCAAATCAGGACCCACGTGGAGGGGACTCCCGGGTGGGTCCAGACATGACATCAAGAGGGAAGAGCAGGTCAGACCAGGGACAACATCAGACCAAGGTCAGGAAGGTGAGTGAGAGGCAGGAGGTGAAGGTCAAGATCACAACCAGAGTCAAGGTCACAGGATGAGCTCTGGGTTGAGGAATGAGACCTGGTGCGGTAGCTCACGCCTGTAATCCCAGCACTTTGAGAGGACAAGGTGGGCAGATCACTTGAGGTCAGGAGTTCGAGACCAACCTGGACAACATGGTGAAACCCTGTCTCTACTAAAAATACAAAAATCAGCCGTGCGTGGTGGCACAAGCCTGTAGTCCCAGTTACTCAGGAGGCTGACGCAGGAGAATCGCTTGAACCCGGAAGGTGGAGGTTGCAGTGAGCCAGGGATGGCACCACTGCACTCCAGCCTGGGCGACAGAGAGAGACTCTGTCTCAAAAAAAAAAAAAAAAGAAAGAAAGTTGTGGAATGAGGTCAGGTTCAGGGGCGGGGTCGGGGGTGGGCGGGAGAGGCCTGCAGAGCTGAAGCCAAAGCAACAGCCACAGGTCTGAGCTCCCCGGGGAGGAGGTGGAGGCAGGGGGAAGGTGGCTGTGGCGGAGGCGGAACAACCCCAGCCTACCATGGTCTGGAGAGCTCCCTGGAGCTGCAGCTGGCCTGGGGACAGCTCGAGGATGGCCCTTAAATAGTGGTCCTCCCAGGGCCCCTGGCATACACCAGGCCCAGTGAGCAAGGTGATTCAGGACAGAATGGGGGCCTCCTTGCCAGGCACCTGCCTTGGGCCATTCAGAGTGGGTGTGGCTGGGGGGTATCCGTGGGCAAAAACCACGGACGCAGGGACTGCCTAAGCCTCCAGATCTCCGAGAGCCCTGGGCAACTGTTTTCTCTAGCGCCAAGGGACCAAGGCCCAGGAAGGGGCATTTGGCCAAGGACATAGAGTGAGTCGAGGCCGGCAACCCCAGTGGGAAGACTTGGCCTGGAGCCGTCAGGGAGTGTTCTATAGGGTGGGGCCACCCGTGATGGCTGGGACCCACTCAGACTGCAGCGTGGCCGGACCTCTGCAGTCGTGGGACTCTGGGTGGGGCCATCACCCTCCAGGAGGCTCAGAAACTCATCGGAGGGTGTGACACCCCACTGGTCTGCTTATGGAGAGGGTTTCTGCACCAACCTGGCCCTCAGGGGTCCCTTCTACCAATATACCTATTATCATGGCCCCCATTGCTCACTCCCAGGCTGGGGGACCCCTCAGGGTATTGAAATGCTCAATGAACAGAGAAAGCAAAGAGACAAATAAAACAAAAATGGGGCGGGCACAGTGGCTCACATTTGTCACCCCAGAGATTTTGGAGGCCGAGGCAGGAGGATCGCTTGAGGCCAGGAGTTCGAGATCAGCCTGAGCAACACAGTGAGACCCCCCATCTCTACAAAAAATAAAGTAGCCGAGCATGGCGGCGTGCCCTTGTGGTTCCTCAGGAGGCTGAGGCAGGAGGATTGCTTGAGTTTGGGAGTTTGAGGCTGCAGTCATCTATGATTGTGCCACTGCACTCCAGCCTGGGTGACAGAGTGAGATGTTGTCTCTTAAAAAAAAAAAAAAAGAAAAACGGAGATGACTCTGATGAGGAAGAACTGAAAAAGGAGACCTCCATTCCACCCTGGCCTTGCACACACACAGCCACCAGGCTTGGCCCAGCCCAAGAATCCTCTAGGATATCTGCCAGACAGAGCCTGCATCTGCCTGGAGAGCCCCTCCTGTGTCGAGCGTAGCCCAGCAGCCCCGGCTCGGACTTAGAGGCTGCCACTGTCCATCTGGGCGCCGCCACATCTGATCAGCTGCCAGGGCCGGCAGTGCTGGGTTCAGGCAGTGAGCCCACGGGTCCCTAGAGGCTGGAGAGCTTAACTGTCCCTTGAGCTGGTCTCAGGCCTTCAGGCCAGAGTACAGCTGATCCCCTGCCCTGGGGGAAGGGAATGGCATAATAATAAGAAGAGCAGCTAATACCCAACACAGAAGGTCAGGCCGTGTCCTGAAACACGTGTCCTCACATTCAATCCATACCCCATTTTCCAGATGAGGAAACTGAGGCACACATGGGTTAAGTCACTCAGCCAAGTCAGGTAAGAAGTGCAGCCATGGCCAGGTGTTGGTGGCTCATGCCTGTAATCCCAGTACTTTGGAGGCCAAGGCAGGCAGATCACCTGAGGTCAGGAGTTTGAGACCAGCCTGAGCAACATGGAGAAACCCCATCTCTACTAAAAACACAAAATTAGCCGGGCGTGATGGTGCATGCCTGTAATGCCAGCTACTCAGGAGGCTGAGGCAGGAGAATCGCTTGAACCCGAAAGGTAGAGGTTGTGGTAAGCTGAGATTGCACCACTGCATTCCAGCCTAGGTAACAAGAGCAAAACTTCGTCTCCAAAAAAAAAAAAAAAAAAAAGTGGGGCCAGAGGCCAGGCACAGTGGCTCACACCTGTAACCCCAGCATTTTGGGAGGCTGAGGAAGGAGGATTGCTTGAGGCCAGGAGTTCAAGACCAGCCTAGGCAACATGGTGAAATCCTGTCTCTACAGAAAAAAATTTTTAAATTTAAAAGTTAGCCAGGCATAGTGGTGAAATGGAAAAAGTTCCCTTATCCCCCTTGAAGGGCATGCGATGGGGATGTGGCTGGCTTCCTCTGTGCCCCAGTGCTTAAACCTCTAGAGGAACGTGCTGGTGGGCAGGTGGTGGGGCTCCGACCCCATGGCACTGTCCAGGGGTGGACGCTCACAGCTCCCGCAGCCCCAGTGGGCGTGCGTTACAGGATGCTCTTTCAGTTTCGCCGTCTGTAGGTGGCTTGTGTTAATCTGCTCCGTTACAGCCTCCACCTTAGCGCAAAGACAAAGGGCTTTCTGTGTCTCGGGGTTGTTGCCTTGGTGTCCTGTAAATGGATCAAACGTGGGCTTGGAGAATGAGTGCCAGGTTTTGTCGAGTGGTAGAAGTAGCTCTCAGCAGATGACGGGGAGCCGGAACGGGTAAGGAGTGGGAAGGTGATTTTGCCCTGGAGTCAAGGTGCTCAGGGGCCAGACTCTCCTCCGTCTGCCACCTCCCCACCCCTGCCAAATTCCCCAGGTCTTCTGCATTATTCTGCCAGTCGATGGCATGCTAGCGTCTGCCGGGGCCGGTCGGTGTGCTCCTTCGCTCCTCCTGACATCCAGCCACCTGTGTGTGTGTGCGCCCGCTAGGGTCGCAGGGTTTTTTATTTTTATTTATTTATTTATTTATTTATTTTTTGAGATGAAGTATTCCTCTGTCTCCAGGCTGGAGTGCAGTGGTGAGATCTTGGCTCACGGCAACCTCCTCCTCCCGGGTTCAAGCGATTCTCCTGCCTCAGCCTCCCGAGTAGATGGGGCTACAGGCACATGCCACCACACCCAGCTAATTTTTGTAGTTTTAGCAGAGACAGGATTTCACCATGTTGGCCAAGATGGTCTCCATCTCTCGACCTCGTGTTTGGCCCGCCTCGGCCTCCCAAAATGCTGGGATTACAGGCGTGAGCCACCACGCCCAGCGGGTCTCAGGGTTTTTATAGGCACAGGATGGGGGCTGTAGTGGGCCAGGGTGGTCTTGGAAAATACAACATTCGGGCTTGAAAACAGGAGTGACTGTCCTCACCCAGGTCTGTGAGCACAGGCCAAGGGTGGAGCCCTCATCAGGGAGCTCGTCTTTCTCCTCCCAGCACTTTCCCGCCCGCACCTTCCTATCAGTGACACACGCCTGTAGACCCAGCTACTTCGGAGGCTGAGGTGGGAGGATCAGTTGAGCCCAGGAGGTTGAGGCTGCAATGAGCTATGATTGCACCATTGCGCTCCAGCCTGGACAACAGATCAAGGTCCCATTTCTAAAACTAAAAAAAATAGAGAGGTGGGGCCAAGACAAGAGCTCCTCTGTTTCTTTCTTTCTTTCTTTCTTTCTTTCTTTCTTTCTTTCTTTCTTTCTTTCTTTCTTCTTTCTTTCTTTCTGAGACAGAGTTTCGCTCTGTTACCAGGTTGGAGTGCAGTGGCACGATCTTGGCTCACTGCAACACCCTCCTCCCGGGTTCAAGTGATTCTCTTGCCTCAGCCTCCCAAGTAGCTGGATCTACAGGTGCGCACCACCATGCTCAGCTAATTTTTGTATTTTTAGTAGAGAAGGGGTTTCACCATGTTGGCCAGGCTGGTCTCGAACTCCTGACCTCCTGATCCATCTCCCAAAGTGCTGGGATGACAGTCGTGAGCCACCGCACCTGGCCAAGAGCCCCTCCTTCTAGTGTTTCCAGAAGGGAGCTTCCAAAAGGTTCTGCTCATCCAAACTATCCCCTCCTCCTGCTCCCCTCCCGGTCATCCTGACTATAGCTGACTCCGATGTCCCTGAGCTCCTGTGACTGAGTCCTCCTCCCAGAGCTGGCGCCAGGTCCTGCCATAATATTGCACAGCCCACTTTCTGCAGCAAGGAAACTGTGTGCCTCAGTTTCCCCTGACAGGGCTTCTCTCCCGGTGTCCTGGTTCCATAGGTGTGTTCACAGTTGCGTTCAGCAGGCCGGGGAAGGAGCACCCAGCTCTGGGGTTGGGAGTCTGGAGCTGCTGCAGAAAGCGGGCAGTGTGGCAGCGACAGGTGCCTGCCTCTTTCCGGGCTCAGGCCGCAGGACAGTGGCCACGGGGCAGGCTTTTATGCCCTGCCCGTGAGCCTGGCTCTGGGGGCCTCCTGCATCTGGGCTTGCGGGGGGCGGGGGGAGGTAGAGACGATGCTATTCCAACCTATTACTCCTGCCTCCTGCCGCCCCGAGGCCTCGGCAAGTGAGGGATCTTGCCTCTGGGAAGCACGCCCAGGACCAAGGCAGGAGCTCCCGAAGGTGGGAGCAGCGGGGAGGGGGGGGGCAGGCCTGAGCAAGCAGAGAGCCGCCCGGCCTGCCCGGAGGAGGGGAAGAGAAGCTGGTGAGTCACACCGGGCTTACAAGTTAGTCTCAGTGGATTTCCTTCCCTGGCCTCTTCCTTCGTAGGACCGGAGGCAGGAGGAGCCGGTGGGAAATCTGGTAGGGGGGTGAGAACCCCGGGTGAGATGGTGGGCAGACGCTTGTTCCTGGGGAGGCCCTGAGAAGGGGGAGCCATGAGTTCCATACCCACTGTGGGACCCTCAGTTTTCCCCATCTGAGAAATGGTGCCAGCAGCCGGGACCCCTTCAAGCTGCCATCGGGCAGCCTAGTGCCATGGGAAGGAGGCGGGCTTTGGGGTCATTGGCCTGGGGTTCGGAGGGCAGAGCCTGCTTCGACCTCCGTGTAGATGGGTCCTTGACAGAACTCACAGCCTCTCCAAGCTGCAGTCCCCTCACCCACGAGAGGCTGCAGTGAGTCAGTCCTCATGGTTGGGTCACACTGACTCAATGGACCACAGGGCCAGGGGCAGTTCTTGGGGTCAGAGACATTCTGAGGGGTCTCTGCTCCCAACCAGGGGACTCTGGAGAGCAAGTCGCCTCTGGATCAGAAACGCCAAGTCTGCCTAGGGTTGAGTCAGGGAAAACCCAGCCCTTGGTTTTTAGAGGTAACCAAGGTCCTGGGAGTGTCCGAGCCAGGAAGGGAGCTTGGAACGAGCCCAGCTGCCTGGCAAGGGGACAGCTGTTCCCCAGACAATACTGAAACAAGCTGGGGCGATGTCCTCCTCTGTCAGCCCTCACCCCTAACCCCTTACCTCTAACTCCTCAGGGTCAGCAGGCTGTCCCGGTCCCCAAGCCCCACAGCCTGGACCCCTTCCCTGGCCAGCCACCACCCTGACCTCGGCTGTTCTTCAAATGCTTCCCGAAATCTCCTTCCTCCATGCCTTGGGCCATATCACATGTTCCCCTACTCCTCCCCATCCCAGTCTCCAGCCTGCTTTAGAAGACCTCTCGGCCGGGTGAGCCGGCTCAAGCCTGTAATCCCAGCACTTTGGGAGGCCGAGGTGGGAGGATCACTGAGGTCAAGAGTTCGAGACCAGCCTGGCCAACATGGTGAAACGCCATCTCTACTGAAAGTACAAAATTTAGCAGTGCGTGGTGGTGTGTGCCTATAGTCCCAGCTGCTCGGGAGGCTGAGACAGGAGAATCGCCTGACAAGAGGCGGAGGTTGCCGTGAGTAGAGATCGCACCACTGCGCTCCAACCTGGGTAACAGAATAAGACTGTGTCTCAAAAAAAAAAAAAAAAAGGAAGCTAGCAGAGCAGGCTTCAGTCTGTGGCCAAAGGCTCCAGAGCCCCTGGCAAACCACTGGTGATGTTCAAGAGTTCAAAAGCTGATGAACTTGGAGTCTGATGTTCAAGGGAAGGAAGCTTCCAGCACAGAAGATGAAGGCTGGACGACTCAGCGAGTTTTTTTTTTTCTTTTCTTTTTTTTTTTTTGAGACGGAGTTTCGCTCTTGTTACCCGGGCTGGAGTCCAATGGCGCGATCTCGGCTCACCGCAACCTCCGCCTCCTGGGTTCAGGCAATTCTCCTGCCTCAGCCTCCTGAGTAGCTGGGATTTTTTGTATGTTTAGTAGAGACGGGGTTTCACCATGTTGACCAGGATGGTCTCGATCTCTTGACCTCGTGATCCACCCGCCTCGGCCTTCCAAAGTGCTGGGATTACAGGCATGAGCCACTGTGCCCAGCCAGTTTTTTTTTTTTTTTTCACTTTTTTAAAGACAGTCTCTCTCTGTTGCCTGGGCTGGAGTGCAGTGGTGCAATTTCAGCTCACTGCAACCTCCACCTCCCAGGTTCAAGCAATTCTTCTGCCTTAGCCTCTCAAGTGGCTGGGATTACAATGCCCATCACCACGCCTAGCTACTTTTTGTATTTTTAGTAGAGATGGGGTTTCACCATGTTGGCCAGGCTGGTATTGAAGTCTTGACCTCAAGTGATCTACTCGTCTTGGCCTCCCGAAGTACTGGGATTACAGGCGTGAGTCACCATGCTCTGTGCTTTGAGTAATTCTTTATAAAACAACAAATAAGAACCATCCCAGTGAGATTTAAATGTGATCTGCTGGGAGACAGGCTGCACAGCCACCGCCTACTCCTCAGAGCTCTGGGACCCATGGGAAGATGAGAGCGTGAATTTGCAATCAGATGAAAGTGGGTTCAAGTCCTGCTGGACCACTCGCTAATGTGACCCCACCCCACATCGCTGAATTTCCCAGAATCCTCAGCTTCTCCACCTGTCCCGTGGAGTCAGTTTCACTTGGCAAGTTTGTTACCTGCCTGGGGCTAATAGATTGCGGCTACCAATCCTGTCTGGTTATCGGCAGAGGACGTGCTGCTCGCGACAAGACACTGAGCCAAGAGATGCCCCTCTTGGGCTTTCAGAACGTGCTTCCTGTGCTGCGGCTTCTGTGTCTTTGGTGGAGGAGAGACGCCCTCTCGGCCTGCCCTTACTGGCTGGCCAGGGCAGCATGACTCCTTGGATGATCTCTCTTCCCATCTCAAATGTCACAGCCCTGGACCACGGCTTTCCTCAGACCCTGTGGCCCCAAAACAGACAGTAGGCGGGGTCCACAGGAAACACCCAAAGCCACAGAGTACCATTTGC